ATGTCATTTGCAAATATCTTCTCCCATTCTGTCGGTTGTCTTTTGGTTTTGTTGACTGTTTGCTTTGCAAAAGCTTTTTGGTAACTCTCATATTAAGCTAGAATGGAAGCTCAGTGAGGTTAGGGATTTTGTCTTTTTTACCCCAATGCTTTGAACAGTGTCTACATGTAATAGGCACTGAAATACCTTGGAAAAATGAATAATACAGATAATTCTGCTTTGTGTTGAACAGTCTTCGAACCAAAGTGTTTCAGGTAAAAGCATTTTTTTTTTTTTAAGATTTTGAGAGTGAGCACACAAGCGGGGGGGCGGTGTGTGCAGAGGAAGAAGCAGACTCCCCACTGAGCAGGGAGCCTAACACAGGGCTCGGCCCCAGGACCCTGGGATCATGACTTGAGCCAAAGGTAGATGCTTAACCAACTGAGCCACCCAGGCGCCCTTGGTAAAAGCATTTTTATATTTATTTGGAAGCATTTGTTCAAGTATTTGGAAGTATTTATTCAACCCTATTTGCCAGGAAATGGAGATGTAGTGACATACTGATCTTCAAACATAAGGGGCAATTATAAGACAATTTTCAGGTTAAGGATAATAGAGACAGTTTACTGACCACTCAAGTCTGTCAGACATTTTATGTTTTACATATTAATTCTGACACTACAGTAGGTAAATGATGTTTGCATTATACAGGTAACATGCAAGGGCTCAGCACAGTTTTGTGATTGTATGGCTAGTGAATGGCAGAGTCATTCTGTCAAATCACATAAGTGGAGAGGAGACCTGGGCAGTCTCGGGACATGATGGCTTCTCTGTGTGTGTGATTCATGGTCCCCGCCCCCCTGCCCCTCCACCTAACTCCTCTGCAGGACTCTTTAGGGCTATTCTATAGTCCTGACTTCCTCCGATATTTAGCTCTGTCACTCTGAACATGAGGTAGACCGCTGTAGGGCAGAAATGTAGCCTCTTGAGTAGCTTGTGTTCAAGTCTTCTCTTTGCTCTCAATAGCTTATGCTCCTGAGTAAGTTATGTCATTCTATCCCAATGTACTCATCTGTGAAGTGGGGATTGAATTCCTACTTAAGGGATTCTTCATTCAGCAGTATTTTTTTTTTTTTTAAAGATTTTAATTATTTATTTTGACAGAGACACAGCGAGAGCGGGAACACAAGCAGGGGCAGTGGGAGAGGGAGAAGCAGGCTCCCCGCGGAGCAGGGAGCCCGATGTGGGGCTTGATCCCAGGACCCTTGGGATCATGACCTGAGCCGAAGGCAGATGCTTAACGACTGAGCCACCCAGGCGCCCCCATTCAGCAGTATTTAATCCACAAGTAATTATTGGGCGCCTACTATGTGCTGAAGATAACAGTGGCCAATAAGACAAAGTTCCTCTTCATGGAGCTTACTTTCTAGTGTAGGAAACAGCAGGCAAGTTAAATACAGACTTTATTCCTGCTTCAAAGGAAATAAGATAGCAGGGAGGCTTCTCTGAGGTAACATTTGAGTTGAGACAGGCCGAGAAAGCCAGCTGAGGGAAGAGCACCCAAGGCAAAGGGGACAGCATGAGTGATGGCTCAATGACGGAAAGGGCTTGGCATGTCCGAGAAGCTGGAAGAAAGTAAGTATAGCTGGAAATGCCAACCGGAGAGAGATGAGGTGAATTTAGAGATGTAGCAAGGACTGGATTAAGAATGGCTTTCTAGGGCGCCTGGGTGGCTCAGTCGTTAAGCGTCTGCCTTCGGCTCGGGTCATGATCCCAGGGTCCTGGGATCGAGTCCCACATCGGGCTCCCTGCTCAGCAGGAAGCCTGCTTCTCCCTCTCCCACTCCCCCTGCTTGTGTTCCTGCTCTCGCGATCTCTCTCTCTGTCAAATAAATAAAATAAAAATCTTAAAAAAAAAAAAAAAAAGAATGGCTTTCTAGGCTGTGGTTAGTTTAGATTCTGTTCCATGAGCAAGGGGAAACAAAGCATGGGTTTAATTTTTGAGATAACACATTCGTGGTATTAAATGAGTGCTGGGTCTGTAGTACTGACTTAACTACATACTTTAAAACTTGACACCTGAGCAACCGAATTAAGAACAGACTGAAGACAAGAAAGACCAAGCAGGGGCTTGGGCTATAAGGCTGTTACAGCCCACGTGAGATGATACGAGTTTGGGCTAAGTAGTAGCAGTAGGAGTGGAGAAGTGGGTTCTTTCAAGATGTATTTTAGCGACTACCAGATTTGCTGATGAACTGGACAACTGAAGAATCAACCTGGTATTTACTGAATTGGTGAAAGTGGCAGTAGGGGGTTTTTTGGCCGTGGGGGGGCGGGGGCGGTGCGGATCAAGAGTTCCAGTTTGGGCTCATTTAAGTTTGCAATGCCTTGTGGACATCCATATGGGGATACCAAATAGGCAATTGGTTATCAGTCTGGATCTCAAGGAGACTTCCAGACTGGAATCACGTATTTGGGAGTTACCTTCATATGTAAAGCCATGAAACTAGATAAAGTCATCCAAGGGGTGTGGAGTGAGGCGCCCTAACTCAAGAACACCTTATCATCAGAGGCTGGACTGAGCATAACCAGCGCAGTATGAGGACTAGGAGTATGTGTGGGGTCTGGGAAGCCAGAAAGAGGCAGGTGTGAGCGAAGCGCGATGCCGGGTACCAGCGGCTCCTTGGTGAGCGCTCAAAATAAAAACAAGTCCGCTGTGGGCATGGTACCGCCAGGACCAATCACAGCAACACCCACCCATCCACGCCCCACCCCACCGCGTCCTCCTCCTCCGGGCGGCTCCACCCCTCCGTTTTCCCGGAAGTCTCCGGGGCGGCTGCCCGACGGCCATCTTGCTTGCCGGGCAGCCGGCTGGGAGGCTGCGCGTGCGCGGGGCCCCTCCAGCTCCGGCGGGTGCGGCGCGTCCCTGAGGGTGGAGGCCGGTGGGCGCCCGCGGCCGCGATGACCCAGGCGGAGAAGGGGGATGCGGAGAACGGGAAGGAGAAGGGCGGGGAGAAGGAAAAGGAGCAGCGCGGCGTGAAACGACCCATCGTGCCCGCGCTGGTGCCGGAGTCGCTACAGGAGGTGAGACGAGGCGCCGGGGGCGGGCCTCGGTGAGGGCCTTCCGGCCGGGCGGAGAAGGGGAAGCAGGCGGCAACGCGAGGCTTCCGGCCCTCCCCACCCTGGTGGCTGGTGCGGAGAGTAGTTCCGTCCCCGGCCGGGCGCGGACCCGGGAGCCGGCTTTCACCTACCATCCAAGCTGTTGTGGGGTGTCAGTGACCGCAGGTAGAGTTTAGTACCGGGCAGACACAGTTGGCGGGGCAGGCGTATTCCTCTGTGAAGGAAATGTCGGAGTGGAGTCCAAGTATAACGCTAAGAAAAAAGGCAGACGACTGTCTAAATAGACATGAAGAGTTTGTGTGCCAAAACCAGAACAAGAGTAAAGCCTACTAACCCGAAAAAATTATTTGCAGTTGCATGGCAAGCAAAGGCCCTGTGTGTGTGTGTGTGTGTGTGTGTGTATATTCTTACTGATCAGTGAAACAAAATAAATCAACGTTGCCGTAGGAAAATGGGCAAATTCACAGCTAAAGTAAGGAGGCATTGAAATGCTCAATTTCATGTTGGACATCTCTGAGGCAGCTTTCTAACTGGTGGATGGGTTAAGGATAATACCCAACTG